TTTTAATGTGAAGGGTCGCACTTTCTGTGTGTTTATGATGTTGTAATTTACCGGCAGGAAAGCAAGCAAGCTGTAGAAATATCGCAGGAGATGATGTTGAAATAACAGGATTGGAATGGCCTGCCACTAACAAAGGTTGTGTTGCAGTTTAAATAATGTCAGAGAGCTTTTATGTGAAAATGTAATTTTTTTTTGAGACAGGGTCTCACTGTGTAGTACAGACTGTCCTTGAACTTACTTACTTATGTAGCCCAGGCTGACCTTGAACTCAGTGATTCTCCTGCCTCAGCCTCCCAAGTGCTGGGATTTCAGGTGTGGGCTACCACGCCTGACTCAATTTTGCTTTTGGAACCACAGTTTTGCTTTGGTGTTGTTACCAAACAGCAACAACAAGAACCCACTAAAAACATGGAGGAAGAAAAATGATGATATCATCTATGTGGTCCTGGTAAAGGGTAACGAAGACTTTCAGTCAGGAAGATGGGTGAGAACTGGACACATTTTCATTCTAGAGATGAAATTGAATCGGTTTCTGAAAGAGTTAATTTTGTATAAATCCGAGTTGTGGCATAAAATAGAAGAATAAATTTGAGGGCCATAGGAAGAATTTAGGAGCATGTTGATGAGAAAGAATAAGAAAAAAGCTCTTGGTGAGAATTCCAGCAAGGGGACTCTGAGCAGAAGTCCAATCATTCTTTCTCTGCCTCAGCCTTAATAAAGAAGCCCCGGGGCTTGCTTGAAGTGGGATGCAATGGTGATAAAAAGATTGGGAAAACAAACTGGTTATCTTGCTGTCCAGGCCCTTTAAAGCCTAGGTGCAGAGATAGAAAGGAACTATTGATGCCCTCTGATGCCCTGCAGAAGAGTCCTTCCCTTCTTCCCCAGGGAAGAGCCTTTATCTGTTCTCGGCACAGCCTTTATCCTTTGTTCTTGGGTTTACTTTTGGATCTCCAAGCTTTGCTTTAGCTGCTCACCTTCGTTCCTAACCTGGGTGGCTGTTGTCTTTTACATTTGTTGCCTAACACTTCCATTTGAACTCTAAGGCTTCTCTGCTCGCCTACTTTCGCTAAGCTACTACAAAATCAGCTGAGTGCTCTACACCTGAGTCCGTGTTGGGGACCAGGGAGGGTAAGGAGGCGTAGGTCTTCCTGGAATAGAAACTAAGTTTGAAGTGCCTGGGGGATGTCCAGGTCTGGGTGCTTGCTGGACACTGGGAGACGTGCTGTAGACATCAAGCCTCGCAGGGGAGAGTGTCAAAGGAGGAGGCCGGAGAGAGCAAAAGCTGCAGGAACACCTGTGTAAGGAGTAGTTAGAACGCTAACAGGAGAAAGAGATTCCCTACCTGCTAGGTCTCTGGTACGAGTTTGTGTTGTCTAAAACTGAAGAATTCGAGGAAAAGCAGAGGTTAAGAGCAGAATCTTACTTACTGGGAAAAGAAAGCACCTTCTGAGTAGGACCTTTCTCTTTCAAGGGAATTTTATAGAGCAAAACCCAGTGAGGTGGGCCCAAGGTGGGAAAAACTATAACCAGATACTAAGGTAACATGGATCCAATTGGAAAGGACAAGTGCATGAGATGGGACAGAACTGTGGTCAACCACTAAGCTTATGAGTATACTTGCTCAGCTAATACTGATTAAATGGGGCTCCAGTGGGGAAGCGAGTCACGTAGCAAGTGTGCCTGGAACAGAACAGGGGCTCTTCCTGTAGGGGGTTGGGTGAGTGGTTCTTCCTGGCTTTCCCCAGGTGCTGGATACCTATTTAGAATATCAATCACTGCTGTTTATCCTTAGGGGAGGTAGGTGGGTGCATTGTTTCATCTTTTGTCTTGAGATCCCGCCCTCACCAGCGCACTCCCCCCACAGGTGCAGTGTGTCCCATCTTTGCAGACTCCTGGGGGTCTGTCCCTGCCTGACTGCTTGTAACTTCCTAACTTAGCTGTGTATATAATAGGAAGACTATGGTGTGCCTAGCAAAAACGTTTAAAATTTATGAAGGTGGTGAAGTAGACATAAAGGAAATTTCAAGGATTGGGTATCCCCTGGCATTGTCTGATGCTCCAGAGACACTGCAGGTTAAACACAAGCCACAAAGAGGCTCTTCAAGTTACTGCGCAGGTAGACCACTGTTCGAGTAGTCGGGTTGCCACAGCAGATCGGAGTGGGCCTGTGAGGACAGGACCAGACGGCTCATTCTTTGAAGAAATTGACTAACGATGTAGATTTTGGAGAAGGGGGAGAGCTGACTGAGAGAACTGAGTTTTAAGGGCAATCGAGAGCCAAATCTGAAGCAAGGAAGTTTTACAGAAAGTGTGATTTCAGGAGCAAATATACCTGACCTGGGAAGATTTTCTGCCATTACTAATTTCCAGGAAATTTCTGGCACGTGGGCCCCACTCCGCAAACACTGACATGTGTGAATTCCTTCCGTTTTACTTTTACTTAACCTTTCCTACAATTTACGTATTAAGCTCTTTCCATACGGAGCTTTCCTTTTGTGCTTTTTGAGTGTAAAATTCCATTCAGCACTTTTGCAGTGACACCAGCAGCTATTTCAAGCGTCTGCTCACAAAGCACTTCCCACAGGCCCTGCTTCTGTTTGCAAACTTCGCATCTTGTCAGTGCTTAAGAAAGCATTTTGTGAAGTTTTGAATGTAATTAAAAGCGGTGAGACATTTCACTTAGGCTGTGCTTCTCTTCCAGGCTCTATTTTGGGTCTGTACTTGCTAAGAATGTCTAAGTAAGGACGCGGAGTGTTCGTTTAGGAAATGCGGTGCTGCCTCCCAGACATGACTCCTAGCTAGCACAGTTCTGATGTTGGCGAAGACACTCGCCCTCATAATAAATATTACATCTGTAACTATCACGGCTTAGTTTTGCTTCTTTAAAAAGGACTTTTTAAAAGTATCGTGTTCAAATTTCTGAAATGTGGGTGGACTCCATTTTTAATTTATCTGTGGAAAAAAGCCTGATCATTTATCTCATTATTTTCCAACAGTGTAGATTTTGTTGATTGGTCTCTTGGAATAGCATTTATAACGTACTCTTCCGTTCTCTTTATTTCCTGTAAACTGGGAATTGGACTTAGTTTCAGCACTCTACCTCTTCCTTCATTTTGTAAAAGAAGATCACTTCCAGAGGGGGTAGAGTGTCCCTCCTCCACAGGCATGTAGTTCTGTTCTTGGGGCGACTGCAGGGTTTGAAACTAAACAGTGAGGTACCTGATTCACCAGGTATTGACCCTGATATAGGGGAAAGAAACTCCCAACCTGCTAGATGCCTGGTATGAGTTCGTGTTCCCTAAAATCGAAGAATTTTAGGAACAGCGGAGGTTAGGGGAAAGAAAGCTTCTGTCCGAAAGAGATATGTGGTGCCAGGGACCTTACCTTTTCTAGGGATTTTATAGAGCAAATCCACGATGTAAGGCAGGTCCAAGGTGGGAAAAAAACCACCAGGTGGGCATGAGCTGGGACAAAATGATGGTTGACTGATAAGATTACAAGTAGAATTGCTCAGGTAAAATTGATTAAATTGGGATCAAATGGGGAGGCAAGTCATGTAGCAAGCAGGCATGGATACAGAACAGGGCTTTTCCTGTAGGAGGTTGCGTTAGTGACTCTTCCTGGCTTTCTCAAGGTGATAGAGACCTACTTAGAATATGAATCCCTCATGTCCATCCGTAGGGAAGTGCGTAGGTGCATCTGTTGGACCTTTTGTCTTGAGGTCTGGCCCCCAGGGGAGGTGGCTGTCTCTTCCACAGTTGAAGGTATTTCATTCTTTTGCACTGGCTTCTTTGAGGGCCAGCCTTAATCTGACTACCTGTAATGTTTTTATCACTGTCAGCTGCCTACGGCAACACTGTATTACATTCATTCTTTATACAATTACTTTTTATTTGCTGAAAGTCCATAAAGGGCAGGTCTACTTTTTGGTTGGGCAGATACAGTTACTGTCTAGGTTCATGCCTGGTTCTTTTATTTAAACCACAGGTCAGAATTATACCTGACATTATTCATCTGCCCTCAGGGAAACGCACACGTGTGCGCGCTCGCGTGTATGTGGAGTCTGACATTGTTGGGGCCTGAGGATTAAAACAGAAGAATGAAAAGACAAAGAGTCTCTTGCTCAACTAGACACCTGGCTGAGACCTCTTTTCAAACCCCCTTATTTTTATATCTTATTGGTGTATTCTGGGCCCACTCAATATGTATGTGTGTATGTATGTATGTATATGTGTGTATGTATGTTTTTCTTTTAAGATATAACACATGAGTTCACACTGATGTTTAGAGCTGAATTACTACTCAGAACTACAACATGCTTCTGTAATTCTGTTTTACGTCTGTATCTTTAGCTTCCAGAAGTTCTTCAAAAGACAGTGACAGAACGTAGTGTATCAGTACAATCCCTGCTGTACGTAAAACCCTTGTGATAACTGCCAACAGTATTTACCGCAAAGAGTTAAAGCAGCCGTCCTGTCCCATTCTCCTCCCACTTCCTCGTTTGCCCTTGGAGGTTCCCAACTGTCAGAGCACACTGTGCTTTCTCCCCTGTGCCACCCTGTCTAGCTACTGAGATTTCAAGATTCAAGGTGATAAATATTACAGCCTTAGCAGGGCGTGGTGGCGCACTCCTGTAATCCCAGCACTCAGGAGGCTGAGGCAGGAGGACTGTTGCAAGTTTGAGACCAGCCTCGGCTACAAAGTGAGCTCAAGGCCAGCCTGAACTGCATAGCGAGACCCTATCCCAAAAAGACGAAAACAAAAAGAAAAACAAGAAAACAACCCAATTACACTCTTAGGCTTTTGTGATTCTATCAGTTCTCTTCACGTGGGAAGGAAGAAGAAAGGTAACCGAATGCACGTTGGTGGAGGAATAATTCTTTAAATAAATGAACATGAAGAAATCATAGATTAGAGCACGGTTGAAAATGTAAAAGGTTTTATGTATTGGGTTTTGTTCCAGCTGTAACTTTCACGTTTCTTTCTTTTGTGACTATTAGAACGTTCCAGTGTGCAGAAACAAGTCATTTTGGAAAGTCCTTCTCTCATGTATCTCACCTGCAAGTTCACGGCGTCGGGGAACTTGACGTCCGTGTGCGTGACTTGGAAGAGGGGTGATGAGCCGCTGAAGAATTTTTCTCACACTGTGGAAGGAAATAGCACTGTGCGTACACAGTACAATTTCACCATCGTTAACAGCAAGCAGCTGGGGAACTACTCTTGTGTCTTTGAAGACAGAAAGGAGCAACGGGGAACATTTACTATCCAAGGTCAGTATCAATACCTTGCAGGATGATAACTTGGCATTTATGTTCTTAGACTTTGAAATCCCCCCGTTTTAAAATTATTGCTATGATAAACATGATAAAGCTGAAAAAAAAAAAAAAGGGTTTTCCATGGTATCACAAGGAGTGACACTGCAAATGGTTATGCGTTCCCCAGGCCACTCACCTCCTGCTTATTAATCTCCCACTTTATTTATTTTTTTTTGTCCCAGTACTGGGAATCGAACTCACGACCTTGCACTTGCCAGGGAGGTGCTTTGCCGCTGAGCTAAATTCCCAGCCCCAGTCTCCCTCTTTAAAACACAGAATTTAGGGCTGGGGATATAGCTCAGCAGCACAAGCGCTTGCCTGGTGAGAGCAAGGTCCTGAGTTCGATTTCTGGTACCAAAAATAAGTAAATAAATAAATAAAACACAGGATTTAGTTAGAAGGTTGGCCTGCCAGCTATTCATCGATCATATCAGTCTCTCAAATTTATTTGTTAATTTAGCCTCTCAATTCAGTGTTCATAATCTCTAGATTCTACGTTGGGAGAGTATGGTTTGGTTCCAGATCAGTGGCTCTAGGATTGGGCATTTTAGGGATCTGTAAAATTTAAGGTTAATACGGAGGGGCACAAAGAGTTGTCTGCACTTTGTATCATCCAGTGTGGACATTTAAAAATGCAGTTATGCATCCTTCAACAGCAGGCATGTGAGCTGAGAAATGCATCATTAGGTGACTTCCTTTCATATATTTAAACGAACCTGGATAATTTAGCCTATGAGAAGAAGGTGCAGTCTGCCACTCCTGGGCTAGAAACCTGCACAGTGTGAGACTGTGGGTGATTGTAACACAGTGATGCATATTTCTGTATCTAAACGTAGAAAAAGAACAGTAAAAATGTGCTGTGAAACTAAAGTTAGCTTGTGTAGGGCCCTCAGCGTGAGTGGAGCTCGCAGGACTGCAGGTCGCCCTGGGAGAGCAGGGGAGTGGTGAGTGTGTGTGCAAGCTAGGACACCACTGTCACCCTCAAACACCGCACACTTCGGCTAAACTAAGGGCAGAAAATTTCTTTTCAGTAATAAATTACCCATAGTTTAGTGTATCTTTTACTTCATCAACTTTTGCATTTCTTAAACGTATTTCGACTCTTGCCAGAACATTTAGCTTAAAACACAATACTGTACATCTCTATAAGATGTTTTCTTTATATCTTTATTCTATAAGCTTTAAAAAAAATATTTAAAATGTTTTATTAAAGGGCTTGGGATGTGGCTCAGTGGTAGAGTTCTTGCCTTGCATGCACAAGGCCCTGGGTTCAATCCCCAGCACCACCACCAAAAAAAATGCTTTATTATTTATTGGGGGGAGTGCTATGTAAACTTTTTGCCTAAAGTTTAAGACACAGACTAGCCTAGGCCTGCCCGGGCGGGGGTCATCGGTGTTGCAGTCCTCCGCCTCCATCCACATCTCGTCCGTCTGGAGTGGCTCTGGGGCGCACCTCGTAGCGGTAACCTCCTGCGCGGTGCCCCCGAGTCCTTCCTGAGGACCTGTCCACAGCTGTTCTTGCCTTGGTGTCTCTCTTCAGAAATAGACCTGTGTGTTGTGGGGGGAGTGGTTTTTCTTTTATTTTTTTTAAACAGCAGATTTGCTTGTGAGCAGAAAATAATCCATCATGAATATTCCTTTCTCTTAATGACAACTTTCTGGCGTCAGGGTCCATGTTTCCCTACTTCGTAGGGAGGTTGTTGAGGGGTGCAGACACTTCTATTGAATTCTTTACTGTGGACTTTTGTGGGGGTTCTTTTTCCTCAGTTTCTTGTTTTCTTTACTCGGTGAAAGGAATTTTTCAGCTTGGTTATGGTCTTGGATCACCACTGCATATTCATTCAGTTCATCGTAGATAGAGTGTTCTTATGTGGCACCCGACCCGCACAAACCCCACGATATCATGTCAGCGCTTTCACATGGACACTAGTTTCATGAAAATGCTAACATTTTGTGATACATTAATGAACTGTAGTGTTACAGCTGGTATTTGGGAAATACAGTCTGTTTCCCAACCTGTAACTGCTTTTGACAGTACTTTCCCAGTGAACTTAAATTGTCTCTACTTTTAATAGAAATTCTGGAGCCTGACACTATGTAGAGGTGACCCTCAGCCCCTCTGTAGCAGACTGACTTGCTTCACTGTTGCCATGATTTAAGATGGTTCTCCACTGGGTCCCTCACGGCACCCTCCACACACTTACAGGCCCATTTCCTTTTTTTTACTGTTGGTGTTGTGAGGTAGGGTCTCACTATGTAGTTCAGGCTGGCCTTAAGCTCACTTTGTAGCTCATCATTACTGTCAGTTTAATGCCATACATTCATGGAGAGGGCCTCCTCTTTTGTCAGCTATTTTGTCACAACTAAAGGGTGAAGTTTTTTTTAAGTCAAGTCTTCCAGAATGCAGAGAGCCACTAAGTACCTTTGTTCCTTTTCTTATTTTTTGAAGCAGTTTAGTTTAACTCATTTGTTTTTCATGGCTACTTAACATTAATGTATATTTTAGATATGTACTATATCCTGAAGATATTTATAAAATTAATAAATTGAATCCTAGATTTTCCTTGATTAAAAGTAGCAACTCTGTAATTCTTCTAAATTGAACATTGCTTGGAGAAATGATTTCATTTGAGTAGAATTTAAAGGTACCTACACAATAACTCCTGTTGTTATTGTTTTATTAGGTCAGTAAGGATTATAGAATAGTGTACATTTTTATAAATGTCCTGTTGTACTTTTTCCATACGGTTTGCTTGTGGTTTTCCCTAAAAATAATTGTTTTCTTAGGGCTACAGTTGAATGTGGATGAAAACCTATTTTATCCTCTATTTTACCTTGAGCCAAAGAAATACATTTTTTTTCATCTTGCAGTAGACTACACAAGTCAGCTATAGTTGATGAGCTCGAACCCTAAACAATTCATGCTCAGAGTCCCTGTTTCTGTCATTTGGGAGCTGGTTGATTTATTACTACAAGAACGCAGAAGGACCTCAGCATGACTGATTGGAAAGATGCTGCTGACTTTATGTGTTAGGCTGTCGGTGCCAGGGTAGGTGAGACAGCGAAAGTGCACGCTGGAAGCTTACACTGGCTGATACCCTGGTGATTACTTTTCTTCCAAGGAGGATGAGAGATGAGTTTTCTTAGTAGTGGGTCAGATATTCAGAGTTAGTTGCTGAAAGCGGCCATAATATTCATCAGTATTAAAACCTCCCTGGTGGAAGTATGCATAATTCTAATTGATAAGAACAAAAGCTTTCTGGAGTTCATGATGAGATTGTGATAGTACCACATGACACATCCTGACTTAGCCCCATCTGCCTTGCCTGGGTCAGTATCCAGGAAGTAAAGTATAGAAGAGCAGCTTAGTAGAATCAGCTAGGGTTAGTGCTAAATCTCAGTGTTGAAGTCCACTTAGCTCTCTCTTTTTTTTTTTTTTTGTTTTTCATTTTTCGTTTTTCTTCCGGTACCAGGAATTGAACTCATGACTTTGCGCTTGCCAGGCAGGCGCTTTGCCGCTGAGCTAAATCCCCAGCCCCCAGTTAGCTCTCTTGAGTTGGAAGAATCTCTGTGAAAATATCTAAATATCCTCCCAACAAACATGGCATCGAGGCATTTTATTCCAGGCCATGAATATGCAGCCGTAGAAAGCTTTTACTTCCACTGGCGGAACTGAAACACATCTTCGTATACTGTAGCCTGAGTCATTTATCTCACCATCTTCAGACCTGGATTATTCCAGCTCCAAGACCGTGACATGTCATATTTTGTCCTAAGTTTCAAAAGATCAACAGGACATGCTAGACTGTTGTTATATTGTCTTTATGTTAATAAATCTTTCCAAACACCAGCAGTGGCACAGAAGCAGTTGTAATCCCTAGAACAGTTCAAGCAAATGGATGTTCCTGAATAGAGCGCATTTTATCATTCAGACACACACTGCTGCTGTTAAGCATACATACCAAAGCAGAAGGGCTGGGGATTTAGCTCAGCGGCACAGCGCCTGTCTGGCAAGTGCAATGTCGTGAGTTCGATTCCCAGTACCGGAGAAAAACCAAAAACCAAAAACAAACAAACAAAAAAAACCAAAGCAGAGCAGTGGTTAGTGTAAACTTGGACGTCAGTCTAGGAGAAAATCAGGGAACAAAAGAGATGAAAAGAAAGCAAAATTTCAGTTTCATTTTCTTCATGTTGTGATTTAGCACTACCGTTTACCCATATAGCGTGCACGAAAACAGAAACTGGCGTGACTAGCGCCCAGCGTGGCCATTTCCCAGTCTGCACTTCCCGTGGTCTGTGGGTGAGGAAGCACACCAGAGCCATGCTACTGTGCTTTGTGTCTCTCCATGTGGGACTCAGAAGCGTGGCTTTGAAAGAACCTTGTGGCTTCAGGACAGAATCTCGGTTCAGCGGGACTCCCGTCCTTGCTTCATCTGCAGATCTTTAGTTGATACCTCCGCTAATAAAGGCTGGATCTTCCCGAGTGAAACAGTAGTCCTTAAGTGCTTCTGTCTTCCCATACTTCATCTCATTAATGAAAGCCATGTCAGGTGATGGGTATTTTTGGAACAAAGGTAATCAGAAAGTGGTTCTGAGCAGGTAAGATGATAGTGCTTTGTCAGGATACCCAGGAATATCTTAGCCCTTGACTGGTCTAGTCAGTCTTTGCCACTGAATCTCGGATAGAAAGTTCACAAAAACTGTGTCAGTGGCCTATAGCTTTGCTGTAGAAATCCTGAGAAGGCCTCACTGCATGGGTAGCTGACTTCCTCAGCTAGATGCAGCTAACCCGAAACCAAAGTAGACTCGTCCCTTCTTCCTTCATGCCCCAAACTTACCTTGGCCTTCTTACTCTAGAGAAGATACATTTCCCTGAACTGGGGAGGGGAAACAGAACCTGGGCCAACTTTCTCATGCTCTTACATACCCAGTTACGGAAAGTAGGCTCAGCCTGT